GCGGTACTGGAGCTGCGGGGACTGGGGGTGCTGCTGGGGCTGCTGGAGCCGGTGCTGCTGGAGGTACTGCTGGAGCTGCTCGCGGTACTGGAGCTGACAGTCCTGCTGGAGCTGGAGCTGCTGGAGCTACTGGAGTTGGAGTTGCTGGGGGTGTTGGCGCTGGTGGTGCTGCTGGCGCTGGTGCTTCTAAGGGTGCTGGAGTTGGTGCTGTTGGAGCTGGTGGTACTGCTGGCGCTGGTGCTGCCGCTGGGGGTACTGGTGCTGTCCCTGCTGGTTCTGGAGGCACTGCGCGGCCGCGGCCGTACTTCGTTCCGCTCCTTGAGCAGGTTCTTGGTCTCCCGCCTTCTACTGGTCCTGCTCCTCCCTTAGAGTGTCCACGGCCTGTCCAGTCGTAGTCACAGTTACAGCACGCCTCCCCCCTGCCTGCTCCTTCTCCCTACACTGGTCCTACCGGAGGTCTTGCTGAGCGTCGTGAGCCTACATCTCGTCCTGCGTCACCTGTTCGTGCTGCTCGCACTAGTCGTCGTGCTCCGCGTCCGCGTCCTCCTGCGCTCCCAGGCACACACCAGATGGCACTGCGTCCTTCCACTGCTCCTCTGCGTGTCCCGTTGCCGTCTCCTCCAGAGTCCTCTCTTCCTGTCCTTGCTGACCCGGAGTCTGACTCTCTTCGTGCTGCCAGTCCTACTGTCACGCGTCTCCTGGCTACTGTTGTCACTGACCCTTCCTTTGAGTCCACTGCTGCGTCTGCCTTGGTTGCTGAGCTTGTCGACTTTGCTGCTCGCTGTCGTCTACACTACGCTGCTAGTCTTGTTGCTGAGTCTGAGTCTGTCTGTCCTCCGTCCGTTGGGGGTGAGTGTGCTCTTAGCACGGACGTCCTTGAGAACAGGCAGGAGGAGTTCCAGTGTTTTGCTGCTGCTTTGCCTCATCACGTGTCCACGCTGATTGCTCTTGAGGGAGACCCGGATGCACCAGACATCGCGACTCCTCGATCGTACGCTGAGGCGATCGAGGGTCCCTACTCCTCACAGTGGCAGTCAGCCATGGACGCAGAGATGGCTTCCTGGAAGTCCACAGGCACCTACGTCGACGAGGTTCCCCCACCTGAGGCGAACATCGTCAGTTGCATGTGGATTTTCAGGGTGAAGCGGCCGCCGGGTTCTCTGCCTGTCTTCAAGGCCCGTTACATGGCTCGAGGGTTCAGTCAGTGGCAGGGAGTTGACTACTTTCAGACCTTCTGTCCCACCCCAAAGATGACCACTCTTTGGGTGCTGCTGCACATAGCCGCTCAGCGCGACTACGAGCTTCACTCTCTTGACTTTAGCACAACTTTCCTGCAGGGCAGCCTGCACGAGGAGATCTGGCTGCGCCGCCCACCTGGCTTCACTGGGTCGTTTCCTCTTGGTACCCAGTGGAGCCTCCGACGGCAAGTCTATGGTCTCCGTTAGGCGCCCCTTTAGTGGCACGACACACTGAGGACTACACTTGCGGCTCTTGGGTTTGCTCCTTCTACTGCCGACCCGTCGCTGTTTTTGCGCACCGACACTTCTTTGCTGCCGTTCTACATCCTCGTGTACGTCGACGACTTGGTCTTTGCCACTGCTGACACTGCTGGACTAGCCCACGTGAAGTCCGGGCTGCAGAAGAGACACACGTGCACAGACCTGGGTGAACTGCGCAGCTACCTTGGCTTGCAGATCACCCGGGACAGAGCACAGCGCACCATTACCCTGACTCAGTCACACATGGTGCAGCAGGTCCTTCAACCTTTTGACTTCACGTACTCCTCGCCTCAGGCCACTCCTCTATCTATTCGCCACTCGCTCTATCTACTCGCCACTCGCTCTCAGCTATGCCTTCGGATGAGTCCGTAGAGCCGAGTGGCCCGTACCCAGAGCTTCTTGGCTGCCTCATGTACCTGATGACCTGCACACGACCTGACCTTGCATACCCTCTTAGCATCTTGGCACGCTATGTTGCTCCTGGGAGACACCGACCAGAGCACATGGCTGCAGCAAAGAGGGTGTTGCGCTACTTGTGCAGTACGTCGGGCATGGGGCTAGTGCTTGGAGGGCGACGTTGAGTGGTCCTCACAGGTCACGCAGACGCTTCTTTGGCTGACGACCAGGCTACGCAGCGGTCGTCACAGGGTTACACCTTCAGCCTTGGTTCCGGCTCTGTTTCGTGGCGGTCTACCCGCTCGTCTTCTGTTCTCGGCTCCAGCTGTGAGGGTGAGATCTACGCGGGGGCCATGGCTGCACAGGAGCTAAGCTGGCTCACCTACCTGCTGACTGACCTAGGAGAGCCGCCTCGTTCTCCTCCAGTTCTGTACGTAGACAACAAGGCCATGCTGGCCTTGTGTTGGGAGCACAGACTAGAGCATAGAACGAAGCACATTGCTCTTTGCTACTTCCTTGCTCGTGAGCTGTAGTAGCGTGGTCAGCTGCGCCTTGCTTACGTGGCCTCTGAGGCCAACACTGCTGATATCTTTACCAAGGCACTTCCGCCTTGTGATCATCAGCGCTTTTGTACGATGCTAGGTCTTGTGCCTACTTGGCCTCACTTGCTCACTTCTTGACTTTGCTTGTACTGTGATCTTTCTATACCTGCACTTGCTTGTTTACCTTGATATATGATATTGCATGTGGACTGGCCTTGTGGCCTTGCTCTTGTGCTCGGACTGTGTGGTGACGTTGTGATCCACCCTGTGCTTGCTTTGCTTTGCTTGCCTTGTGACCTCTTGTTCTCCCCCACTCTGCCTATGGGGGTGTGTCAAACTCATATGATGTAGTCTTTGTAGGCTGTAGTGGGGTAGACAATATGGGGTACAACTCTTTTAGGTTTTCCTACTTGTACCCACCTGCTTGCTAGTTCATTCATTCCTCGTTCTTTCACAGTAATACCGCTGCAGCTGCTGCCGTGTTTTTTCTACCCCGAAATGGCCCGAGGTAATGTCGTCGTGTGCCTCCTATTATAATAGCTCCCTTAGCAAGGTATACCCTGGCACTTAGATGCGGTCGGTGCCGGCTTTTACGTAATAGACTCCTTTTGCTGCTGCGAACTGCTGCAAATTGCCCGGTTTGAAGAATGGGTCGTGGAAAAATAGTACTGTCAGTAGGGGGCTAGTCTGGGTGAGTAGTATGGCATGAATTTGGGCACTGGGGCGGGTCAGTGCGGCGGCGATGTTGGATGCTCCTTTTTTGTTGATGACCATGTGGTGAAAATTTGACTCGAGGACATCGAGCCAGCGAACCTGACGTGGGTTGAGGTTTGGCTGTGCGCGGAGGTACTGTCGTGACTTGTGATCTGTCCGTATATTCATGTCGGCTGCGGTCAAGTAATAGCACCACACTTTGAAAGCGTGCACGATCGCAAGCATTTCGCGGTCGTGTATCGGGTATTTCTTCTCGAGCGGGTGCAGCTTCCGTGATTCGTACGCGATGGGCTGGAGGCCGTTGCCGAAATCCTGTAACAGGACTGCTCAGATGGCGATGTCGCTTGCGTCCGTAATGACTTCGAAAGGGCGGTGGGGGTCTGCAATGCGCAGGACGGGTGGTGTACAGAGAACATTTTTCAAGGCAGAGAAGGCAGCATGCTCTTTCTCCCCCCACGTAAACTCTACCTCCTTTCGTAGTAGGTCAGTTAGCGGGGCAGTTAGCTGCGCTATGTCGGGGACGAACCAATGAACGACATCAACGAACCCTAAAAAACTCTGTAATTCCGTGAGGTTCGTGGGGGGGTGCCACGCTTTTACCGTATCCAGCTTCTTTGGGTCAATTTCGACCCCAGCCTCCGAAATCACGTGCCCCAGAAACTCTAACCGGTCCTAAAAAAAATCACACTTCGATCCCTTAGTCAGTAGCCGATTCTCGTCTAAAATCTTAAACACTGCTTCTAAGTCCGTTAAGTGCTGCTGCTTATCCCGGCTGTAAACGAGGATGTCGTCGAGGTAAACTATCACGCACTTATCTAATAGTGGTATAAAAACCTCGTTCATGGTCATTTGAAATGTCGCGGGGCATTTGTCAGTCCAAAAGGCATGACGGTGTACTCGGAGGATCTGTACCTAGTGCGAAAAAACTTGGTGCAGTCCGATGGTTCGGCCCTAATCTGATGGTAACCCCCCCGTAAGTCAATCTTCAAAAACACTCGGGCGGTTTGCAGTTGATCTATCAGTTTGTCAGCGCGGGGAATCGGGTATCGCGATTTGATGGTTACTCGGTTCAGTGCTCGGTAATCAATACACATGCGAAAACCTCCGTCTTTTTTCAGTGTGAACAATATCGGTGCGGCAAACCGTGACGAGCTTGGTCGAATAAATTGCTTCTCTAACAGGTAATGTAACTGCTTCCTAAGCTCACCGAGCTCCGGCTGTGTTTGTCTGAACTGGCGCTGTACAGTTGGTTGTGCCCCCTATTCTAAATCTATTTTGTGGTTGTGTGCGCGCTAAGGTGGCAGTCCTTCCGGTAAGTCATCCCGGAAAATCCCCGGGTACCGTTTCAATAGTTCCTGTGGTTCGGGCGGTACAGCTGCTAGAATCACTCGGCGCCTCTGCTCCTCCCACTACTGCTATATCCACTGCGTACACGTCAGCTCCAGCGGTGACATCCTGTTTTATCGTGATGGCGTTGACGTGGACCGTTGAAGACTCTGACAATTGCCAGTGAGGTTTTTTTTTTTTTTTTTTTTTTTTTGGTTGAATATGTCCACTAACACCGATGATACAAGTGTACGTAAACATATGCCAGTCGTAACTGAGCGTGAAAGGCTATTCCTTCAAGAAGGAACAACCTCAGGAGAAGCCTTCTAAGGCGGATGCAGAGCCCCTCTCGCAAGACTCCAAAGCGCGCCAAAATTCCTTGTCCACTTCCAACCTTTCACCGCCGTGCACCTGACACGTCCAAGGAGCTGGTCCTCCCGTTCTGCCAGCGCATAGGCACTCCCTTGTCTTTTCGAACCACTCGCCTTCCCCAGCTTCCTCCCCATAGCGCGGGTGTACACCTTCACATGCAGCCGAAATGCCGCCTCAATGCGCCTAAGAATGCGCCGAGCCCTGAACCTCCGCTCTCGAAACACGCAGTCACATCGTTCCGCCCAAATTTGGTGCACCGAATAGCAGCCAGCGATGCCTCCGGGAAAGTTGAGGTGGATGCTGCCTTTCCGAACAGCAGATCCCCCAAATCAGCCACCTGCCTCACCGGGTTGAGCATGCGCATGGCTCGTTTGACCGCCCCCACCACCAGCTGAATCCTCGGGCAGGTGAAAAGGCAGTGCTCGAGGGACTCAAACTCCCCACAGTGGGGGCAAACCGGCTTGCCACTTAGGAAAGAGAGCCGCTCTCCCACCTGCAGATTGAGGCTGTGAATCCTTAGGAGCACGTCACGCGGTCTATTTGGTGTCACCAGGGAGTCCCGAATCTTGATGACATTTTTCCAGTCGATCGACCCTGCCCATCTGTCCGCCCACAGCTCGCGTTTGGCAGACTGATGCTTCTGCCGTTGCCAGCTCCCCTTGAGCTCCCTTAGCGCAGCCACTTGCCCATTTTCCACCACCGGTGTCCTCTGGAGCGGGGTGCGCAACGGCGGACGGGGGGACACAGCGTGCTCAGCAGACAGGAGCGCTGATTTCCAACTCTGCGGCACAGCCTCCCACGCCCTTAGAGCTAACTTCGCCTGCTTAGAGCCACCTAGCTCCCTCGCTAGAGACTTCACGTCCTTGGCACGTCCGTGCCGTCCGGACATAGTAAATCCCCCAGCCGCACATCCCAAAGCTTCGCCGCTGCCTTGTGCCCTCCCACCGGAGTCGTGCCGTTCAGCAGAATCTGGCGGTATCTCTTCCCGCGACAGTTCCAATGTCGTAACTGCCAGCGGTGATTGCATAAAGTCCCCACAGGCTAATTTCCATCTCTCTCTCTTGCCGCTCCAGCTCTTCAGAAGTTTGACATGAGAGACGAAAGTGTCCAGGCCCAGCGGCAGGTCAGCCGCTTCGAGCATGATTTCCCGCTTCAGCTCGTTCGTCTCCGTGAGGAGCAGGCCGATACGCCTCGCCGTGAGACAGGTGAGGGTGATCTCTGGATCCTTGACCCCCACACCACCGTCTTCCCTCGCCATGTATAGCAGTTCTCTGCTCCATAGGATGAAACCCTTGTCTGTTGACGCGCGATTCCCTGACATGAAATTGTGTGTGATTTTCAGGATCCTCCCCCATACGTCCACCGGCGGCGGGTACACCTGCGCCTGAAAGAAGATAATCGGCGAGATGTAGCAGTTTATCACCACCGCTCTCGCGCCGGTCGTGAGATGCTGCGTCTCCCACTGCCTCAGCTTCTCCTTTATCCTTGCGAATGCTTTCTCCCATGTGGGAGCGCAGCTGCCGGACGGTGTCACCCAGACTCCCAACAGCCGCTCCGCTTCGTCCGCCTTTACCCACTTAAAGCCATCCGTTTTGCTAGCCTGCTTGCCCAGGTTCCTCCCCAGCGGCAGCACTGCCGACTTGTCCTTATTTGTAGCCAGGCCTGAGTCCTTTTCAAATTCATCTAACAGCTGTTCCGCTTCCGCAATCTGATCTTCCCCCTACAGCAGGAGCGTCGTGTCGTCGGCATATCCCAGGTAGGCCAGCCGCTGACTCCCCCCGGAAAGTCCCAGCTTCCGGGTTGCAGCCGCCTGCGCCAGCGGTTCCACGGCACACAGGAACAGGTAGGGCGCTAGGGGGCAGCCCTGTCGAACCCCCGACACCACCTCCACAGCTTCACCGAGCCAGCCGTTAACTAACAGCCTCGTCTGTGTTCCCTCGTGCAGGCCTCTAATCCAGCCGACAAACCTGCTGGGGAAACCCATCCTTTCCAGCACCGTGAGCAGATACTTCCTCGAGACCGAGTCAAACGCCTTCCTGAAGTCCACAAGCAGGAGGTACCAGTCCTTCCCCTTGTTTTTGGCAGCATCAATCACGTCCGCGACCAGCCCCACCGCATCAGACAACCTCCGCCCTGGCAGAAAACCGTACTGCTCGGGCGAGATCACTTCATGCAGAAACCGCTTCATCCTATCCGCGACCACCCTTGCCATCACCTTGTAGGTGAAGCTCAGAAGAGTAATCAGCCTGTAATTCTCAACTTGATCCCGGCTGCCCTTCTTGTGTAACAAAATGGTGACCGCGTCCTTCGTGCTTGCAGGAATCGACGAGGACGCGGTGAAGCTTTCCACCAGCCCCATGAAATGTTTGCCCAGGACGTCCCAGTGCGTCTCGAACAGTTCTTTAGGCAACCCATCCCTGCCCGGAGCCTTGTTTTTTGCCATCGAGCGGAAGGCCTGCTGCACCTCCTTTTCCTACCAATCCGCCGCCACCCTCTCTCGTGCCGTCGGCGACAAGACCCTTCCATCAACCGGCTGCCAGTCTGTCAAGGCCTTCTGTCTGTCCGTCCCGAAGAGGTCTCTGTAGAATTGAGAAGCCACGCCTAGGATCTCCTTGTTTCCAGTGACCAGAACCCCCCCGGCGCTTAACTCCTTGATCTATGTCTTCTCCTTCCTGGATCTTATTTTCGCAGACAGGTGCGGGGAAGCCACCTCCCCCATGACCAACTCGTTCACTCCAGCCATCACATGCAGCCTCTGTTGCCGTGCCAGCCGATAACTTTTCAGCTGCGCCTCCCTCTCGTCCAGCAACTCCTTCAGCCGAGCACAGCTCGGGTCACCCAGCCAGGCCTGCTTCAAGTCAGCGATCGTGCGCTGAAGGTGAGCCATCGTGGCCCTGATGCGCTTCCTCTCCTCCATCGCGTACGCTCTGAGCCCGACGTTTAACCTGGACAGCAACAACTCGAAATCATCGCCATTTGCTGCCACTTGCTTCTCTACCACCTCGATGACCTTTCTGACCCCTGGTCTCCCGATCAAATATGCAAGGAGCCTCCAGAGGCCTGGTCCCATCTGCACCTTCGTATTCATCCGGAAAGCTGCCTTCACCGCGAAGCTGTGATCCGAGATGGGATCTGCTGGCATGATATGCGAGGCAAACTCCACGTGCGACAGCAGCGACTGTGAGACAAGCACCCGATCGATTCGTGAGCTGGACTGATTAGCACACGAGTAAAAGGTAAACTCCCTCCTGTAGGGGTGCAGCACTCTGAAAGCATCCGGCACGTTGAGCACACTGCACCGCTGGTACAGAAAATCATTCTCCTTCGATGTCCCTTTCTTTGACGTCCTGTCCAGTAGCGGGTCCTCCACTAGGTTGAAATCCCCCACTATAAGCAGGTGAGCGCCAGGGTGCACCGCGTCAACCACCGGCCTCAGCACCCTGCTGATAAAGTGTTTCCTGTCCGTCACGTCCGCCGGGAAGTATACTGCCAGCAGGGTGACGTGGAAGGCGTCCAGATGGATGTTTGTCCTATTGAGTCTTCCTGACGGGAGAATGAGTGTATTATGTAGCGAGAGCCCATGCCTGCGACAAACCAAGGCCACTCCCCCGGATTTTGCAGTTGGGGAGGCAGCGAGAACCGACGGGTGAGTTAACAACTTCCAGTATGGGTGATCATCCGCGAGTCTGGCGTCTGCGAGTACTGTGACATCAGCAGCTTGTTTTAACCATGTTTTCGTGAGCTGTTGCTTGTTCCCATCTCCCAGGCCATTGACATTCAGGCCCGCCACTGACAAGAGACTCTTGTTACTCATTTAATCCCTGCTGGAAAGCCTCTCCGCATCCACAGGCTGGTGAAACTAACAAAAAAAACCACACGACAATCATCTACGGCAGCTGCTCTACTCCACCACAGGCCGGAAACTATAAGCCATCTCAGATCCCGAACTCCTTGCGGATGACATGCAGACCGAGCCTCTTTAGGGAACCGCGAGTGGCCGCACCCAGCTTCTCCAGCCCCAGCAGGTGACTTGCCGAGGTGATATGGTCTGCCGCCACCATGAAGGACTTGCCATGGACCTTCCCGCAACATTAGAGAGTACACAGCCACTCCTCCCGGTTGCTTCCCATGGAGATCAGCACAAAAGCCGCGTCTAGCAGCAGCAGGGTGGTGAGCGCGGAAGCGCGGAGAGAGGCAGTTGCGAGAGGCAAGCGGCGCGTCAGTAACCGTCAAGACAGGTAAAGCAAAGCGACAACCCGAAAAAAGGTAAGATGCAGTTACCATTGATCCTATGAACCCGTCCCACAGCTAAACTCCACTTCCCTATGTTATTTTGACGCTCCATGATGAAAGCATTATGAAACTTGTCATAATGGTGTCCACCATAGAGCGCGCAGGATAGCAACGGGAAGTGAGCCAACAGGGTCGTTCCTCCCAGCAGCTGGTGACGGATCTCATGACGCCAGCGGTGCTTGTCGCCAGCGTGCTGAATCACCAAACCCTTAATCTTGTCAGTATCAGCTCCAGTAACCGGGTGCAGGACACGGTGGAAGCAATGGCCTTCGGCGAAGGCAGATTGCTTCCGGATCTTGAGCGGGTGAGCCACCATGATCTCCTTAACCAACTCCGGCGGGATGTCAGCAGGTACGTTCTTGAAGAAAACCTCCAGCAGCTGCGGGCTCGAAGCCTTCTTGCGAAGGTAAGCCGCGTCTTCCTGATGCAGCCAGAAACAGTAGAGCGTCGTGCCGTTCTGACGCTTATGCTCCACCGTAGTCTGCTTGATGTTCACCGCGTCCGATTCGTGCAGGAATGAAACCTGAAGCCGACTGTAGCGGGTCTTGGCGACGATGGCAGGAAGCAGCTCCTGGAACTTCACCGAAGCAAGAACATCATCAGTAAGCAGGTTAGACCAAACGCGTTTCATCAGCGTCTTCACTGTCAGAATGACCGAAGCAACCTCACGAGAGGGGATAACCGAGAAGAGCAGGATCGCCGTGAAACGCAGATGCGGGTAAGAGCTCTTAGTCGCGTCAATGTCGAGCTCCTCATCCGAATCATCTTCGATGAAGGAATCATCCGAGACCACCGTCGCCAGCGCCTTCAGCTTCTCTTCAAGAGTAAGTCCGGAGCTGCCAGCCGTCACCTCTACTTCCGACGGAATATTATCAACAATCTCCTTTCCCTTGCTTGGCGATGTCTTGCCTGCAGGATCACTCCCACCAGCAGGAGCATCAACCACGGGCTTAGCACGCGAGTTCTTCGGAGGCATCGTGCGATGGTGACAGTAATCCGGCAGAAGCTCTTGTAACAAGAGCAGTGAGATCTGAATAAACTGATGAGCCGGTCGTCTGAGCACTTCATTGTTAAATAGCAGAAAGTCTTCTGTGGTTGACCAATGCTCTTGGCAAAGGTGTTGCAAAGCCGAAGATAGCACTTTGGGATCATCCCGTTGCACAGCATCAGCGTAGCCAATGGTAGATAGCTTAGGTTGTTCCTTGACAGTGAACCAGAACCTAGGGAGCCACGCGTTAGCATCGAGCTTAGAAGCTTCAACTAGTGAAAGACACCCTTGAGAAGGCCGATCAATGTTCGCCTGATGAACACATGAATGATATAGTCTTCTTTGTAAGAGTGTAGCGAATCCAATGCTGGTTAAATTAAAGCCAACTGACGAACATGCTTCACGCGATGTGAGTTCCAGGGAATCGGTAGGCAGCCATGGCGGCGAGCTCGAGGCTGTCATTTTCGATACGGACTAATCGATTGCCAGTGAGGTAATTCGACCCAATTACCGCTACTTCGCACAGTGCAGCTACACGTCGTCCAGCCAATTCGTAGGCTGTATCGTCGCAGCCAATCATGTCCCAGTAAAATGTCGTGCCCATCCAGTGTCGTCGCGAGCATTTCCTGTGTAAACCCGAAGTTCCCTTGGCAGCGAACTTTTACTCTCTCCACTTTCTCCCATATAGCCAGAGGCGTGCTATCGACTAAGCATGCATCTATCTCTGGTAAACACCAACTAAGTGTCAGCTGTAGTTTCCATGCAGTCGCGATATTAACTAAACTGTGACTTGCCCCTCCATCTATATATATCTTTACTGTTGCTCCCTGTATTTTCCCGTTGATTAGTACTGGGCAATCCGTCGCTGTACCCTCGTTATTCATCCGAGCACGATCGATGGCGTGAATCGGTACTGTGACTCGGTGAGGGTCGTTGAGGTTGGGCGAGCAGGTAATCTCGTCAGTAGTTGGCCCGTTTTCTACTGACTGCTGGTGTTTCCCTGCCTCTGAGAGTCCCTCCACTGCTCTGCTCCACGGCGCCTTGGTTCCTCTCGGCATTCGCTCTTGCGGTGGCCCGGTACATGTGAAGAAAGAGGAATGATTGAACTAGCAACGAGATGGGTACAAATAGTGAAACCTAGCAATGTTGTACCCCATATGGTCTACCCCACTACAGCCTACACAGACTATGTCATGTATGTTTGACACACCCCCATAGGCAAAGTGGGGGAGAACAAGAGGTCACAAGACCGGTCAAGCAAAGCAAGGCAAGCTCAGGGTGGATCACAACGTCACCACACAATCTGAGCACAAGCACAGGGCCACAAGGCCAATTCACATGCAGAGTTATATATCAAGGTGAACAAGCAAGGCAGTGACCAAAACCTAGCAAGGGTAAGCATGCAAGTGCAGGTATATATAGATCACAGTACAAGCAAAGTCAAGAAGTGAGCAAGTGAGGCCAAGTAGGCACAAGACCTAGCATCGTACAAAAGCGCTGATGACCACAAGGCTGAAGTGCCTTGGTAAAGATATCAGCAGTGTTGGCTCGAGAGGCCACGTAAGTAAGGCGCAGCTGACCACCTTGCTGTAGCTCACGAGCAAGGAAGTAGTGAAGAGCAATGTGCTTTGTTCTGTGCTCCAGTCTGTGCTCCTAACACAAGGCCAGCATGGCCTTGTTGTCTACGTACAGAACTGGAAGAGAACGAGGCGGCTCTCCCTGGTCACTCAGTAGGTAGGTGAGCCACCGTAACTCCCAGCAACCCCAGGCTCCGCACGCTCTGGCTCAGTACCCCTAGACCCAGCACCCGCAGGCTCAGCACCCCTAGCAGCACCAGAGTCAACAGCTACCTCGACAAGCTCGACCGCATCTACCTGGGACACACCTGATGAAGCAGGACCCTGGGGGGGGAGGGGGTCTACCGGGGGGGGACCTGGTGCGAGGAAGAGCGGCGGGGGGGGAAGGGAAGCAGTGCGTTAGGGGAAGAGACGGTAGTAGGGAACCGACTCGTCAAACGTGAGGTCCTGAGAGGACAGAACACGGCGCGAGGTGGGGTGGTAAAACAGCCAACCAGGCGCGTCATGGGGGAAGCCAAGGAAGACGCAGGGAACAGCACGAGAGGACAGCTTGTCCGCAGACAAGTTGCGGACGAAAGCTCGAGATCCCCAGACACGGAATGCAGACGCATCGCCAACCTTCCCTGTCCACCGCAAAGCAGGGGAGGTCTCCGGCATGGAGACCCAGGGCTGAAGGTTGATCTGATGCGCCGCGTACTGAACCGCGAACGGCCACAGAAAATGGGGAGCAGCCGCATGGATCATGGACGTACGAGCGACGTCCATGACCATGCCAATGCGGCGCTCAGCAATCCCATTTTGCTGTGGAGAGGCCGGAAGCGTGAACGTCTGGCGGATGCCTCGTGCACGACAGAAGGCTCGTAGAAGGTCGGAGAAAAACTCTCCACCTCTATCGGAGTGCAGACGCAGAACAGGAAAGTCCGAGCCGAAACTCTCTCTGAGCTGGAGACAAGCAGCGCAGATCCAATCGATCAACACCTCAGTGACCTCACCCTTGCTGCGCAAGGGGAAGACTGTGGTGTAACGCGAGTAGTCGTCAACCACCAGCAGGAAGTAACGCTCATGACCCTGTCCACGGACGCGGGCGGGGCCCCACACGTCCATGAGGAGAGTCTGCAGCGGAGCCACTGTCGGGGGAAACTCGGAGGAGTGAGGAACGGCGCGCTGCCGTCCCTTGACGCAGGGAACGCAGATAGGGGCACGCCCCGGAAGAAGGGGAGGGAGGGACCTGGGGAGACCAGAGACAAGGACACGGGAGGCCATGCCTCGGAGACGAGGCAGGGAGGGGTGACCAAGGCGGTGGTTCCAGAGGAGAGTCTGGTGGGACAGGAGGCGACACGAGCAGGGGGCAGACTCAAGTACAGACCGAGACGCTGCAGCAGACACCTGACCCGACGCAGCAACCTGACCAGACGCAGTAATCGAAGGAGACTCAGTAGTCAGTGTGTACAGGCTCGACCCCGGCTGACGGGTAAACGTGGCCAAGTGTCGGCCCGTCTGAGCACACGTGTAGTGGGTCACTCGCTGACTCGCAGGAGTGAACTGGTCCACCCCTCCATCCTGCAGGTCAGCACCATTCACCAAGTTCGTAGAGAACGAGGGGAGGTAAACTCCTTACAGGGAGCCAGACGGGGCCGCCGGACACGGTAGGACAGTGGAGTAGTGAGCAAGGACAGGACCCCCAGAGGGGTCTGCCAGGGAGACTGCAACCGGCCGACTAAGCGGCGTGAGGGTGGTGCGGTCTCAAAAGACGGAGCGGGAAGCACCCGAGTCAAGGGTGAAGGTGTGCAAGACCGCAGCAGGCGCAGCACCAGAGAGAGCAGACTCACCAGCACCTGGAGCAGGAGACTCACTAGCACCTAGAGCAGCAGCCTCACGACACTTGGAGCAGGAGACGCACGAGCACCTAGAGCAGCAGCCTCACCAGCACCTAGAGCAGCAGACTGGATACCGGGGTCAGGCGGCACACACAGGTGACAGGCACCCTCAGCACTAGTAGACAATGCATACATTGCAGTGAGAAGAGCATCATAGTCAAGAGCAAAGATATCTACCCTCTGCCTAAGCAGCTCCAGCCAAGAGGGGAGCTGAGCGTCGTCGCCAAACTCTATACGCCAAGCGACGCTCAGACGGGCGAAGCAGCGGGACTCTGTGTGACCAGGAATCCCGCAAGGCTGACCAGTCCGGACACCCGTGCAAATGACGTACGGGCAGCGAGCACTACTCAGTGACCCTCTACTCTGAGCGTACCACTCGCGAAGCTGCTGGGGCGAAAGGGTCTCGCGCGGACGACGCTGCAGCTGCACCTGGCCACTACAAGAAGCTCCCGAACTACTCACTCTATGACTTCTCCCACTACGGCCACCCCGACAACCCCAACTAGCGTACCACTTACGAAGCTGCTGGGGCGGGAAGGACTCACGCGAACGTCGCTGGAGCTACAGCTGGCCACCGTGAGGAGTAGCAGTAGCAATAGTAGCCGCAGTAGCAGCAGTAGCAGCAGTAGCAGTAGTAGCCGCAGTTGCAGCGGTAGTAGCAGTAGGAGTAGTAGCAGCGCGGCCACCTCTACAACCCCAACTAGCGTACCACTCACGAAGCTGTTGGGGCGTGAGGGACTCACGCGGACGGCACTGGAGCTGCATCTGGCCACGCCAGGAGCAGCAGTAGCAGTAGAAAGAGTAGTAGCAGTAGGAGCAGCAGTAACAGCAGTACGGGCAGGGCCGTGCTCACTAGTGGCGAGAAGGGCAGGCGTACGACGGCGGCAACGGCCAGGCCGCTACCACTGCAGGGCAAGGGCTCCGCGGCAACTGCAAGGGCGGCTGCTCCAGGGGCCAGGGGCGGCTTCTGCAGGGGTGGCTCCTCCCGGGGCCAGGGGCAGCTGCTGCAGGGGCGGCTGCTCCAGGGGCCAGGGGCGGCTGCCCCAGGGGCCAGGGGCGGCTGCCCCAGGGGCCAGAAGCGGGTGCTGCAGGGGCGGCTGCTCCAGTGGCCAGGGGCGGCTGCTGCAGGTGCGGCTGCTCCAGGGGCCAGGGGCGGCTGCTGCAGGGGTGGCTGCTCCAGGGGCCAAGGGCGGTTGCTGCAGGGGCAGCTGCTGCAAGGGGCGGGGGCAGGGGCGGCCGTCCGAAGGTCGGGCGCGGATTAGGGCAGGGCGCCGCGCCGGGCAGAGGCGACGCCGCGCGGGTCCCGCAGGGGCGTCGCGACGAGCGGGGGCGACGCCCGGGTTCCGTTGGGGCGTCGCGACGCGCAGGAGCCGCGCCTCGCGGGTCCCGCAGGGGCGTCGCGACGAGGCAGGGGCGACGCGCGGGTCCCGCTGAGGCGTCGCGACGAGGCAGGGGCGACACCCGGGTGGCGACGGGGCAGGGCCGCGACTGGCGACAAGGCGGGGTCGCTAGGGGGCCGCGAAGGGGCCGCTAA